CCTTTTTTTTTTTTTTAACAACGATTTAAAATTTAAAAATTAGTAAGTCTTATTCCTGTCCAAAGAAATGAATGTTTTGGTGTTGACTTCCTCAATTCTGAAGAATCAAAATGTTTAGATGTCTCATTTGCAAGAGTGTCTGTATCAGTTTCTTTTGAATCCGCCTCTCTTTCATTCACTTATTCATCCAGTTAACAAATGGGTCAGCATCTGCTGTGTACATTGTGGGTGCTAAGTGTATCAGTGAAAGTTAGGCACAAACCGTGCTTCTTAAGGAGCTTGCGATCCCATGGTGCTTAGGAAATACAGAGGAATGAGAGCCTCAGGGAGAAAGCTCAAAGACTTATGGAAGAGGTAGCTTTTTAAAATTAAATTAAATTAAATTAATTAGTTTGTTTGTTTGTTTGGGGTGGGACTCGGAGAATAAGAAAGCTTGGCCCATTAAGGATGGAGGAAGGACAAAGAAGAGGGCAGAACATGGAGATTGCCTAAGGTCATGCTGTCCCATAGAAATAGAACATGAGCCACATGTAATCTTAGATTTTCTAGTAGCCATGTTTTGAAATTAAGTAAAAAGAAGCAGGTGGAATTCACTTTTATTAATTGGTTGAGATTTTAATGATCTATTTGATTTAGCCCCGTATATCTAAAATGCTATCATTTGAACATGTAACCAATATAAAAAATTATTGATGAGCTACTTTACCTTCTTTTTTTCACACCAAGTTTTCGAAGTCCGGTGTGTATGTCCCATGTCTAGCACATCCTGATTCACATTAGCCACATTCCAAGAGCTCAGTAGCCACAAGTGGCTAGTGGCCAGTGTCTGGGACCCTTAGGTCTAGAGCACAGGGTTTGAAGATGGGTAGTGAGAAGTATCTTTGTAAAGGTAGAAAGTTCGTGTCCTCCTGCCGCCAGTTACCAAAGCCTCCTGAGAGTGCTGTCAAAGAGTGACTCAGAGCACAGTGTTTATAATTCTTTCATGGATTAGTCCTCAGAGAGGAGAGGGCAGGCACTTTCACCCATGCTGCCCATTTGATCCCCATAACCACCTGTGATGGAGGCTCAGCAGCCATCCCCCTCCGACAAGTGGGAAAGCAGAGAGGTTGTGTCCCCCCCCCCGCCGGCCAGTGCCCTGTGAGGACCTCTGTGCCCAGGTGGAGTGGGGCTTCAAGTCCCCGGAGACCTGCTGGGTATGGGAGAGGCTCAGCGTGGAGCCAGCTGCGGGGTCTCTGAGGAAGCTGCCGAGGACACCTGCAAGGCTACAGGTCACATCTGTCCAGTAGTGAAGGAAGGAGACTGTCCCTCCGGGATTTTAAAGAATGCATTAATTAGTAGGAGGAGGAGAATGTGTGGTGAAGGAGAAGGTGGCAGTTCCAAGGGTCCCAGACAGTATGTGGATTGGTGGTTTGGGTCACTGTTTTCTGTCGGTTTGTGGGGTGGGGCGCGCGTCTGCCCACTGACCTCATTCCAGGAGCTGGTGCTGGGAGGCTGGGTTTTCTTGACATCCTTTGTTTTACAAATGTGAGCCTTGAGGCCCAGAGGGAAGGAGAGAAAGAGACTTCTACACCTTTCGGAGGGGGATGAGCTGGAGAGAAGCAGCCAGATTAGTTTGAAGTACCCTGCTAGCAGAGCCGAGAGAGCGCATTCTGCAACCAGCCCACAGCTGTGGGGAAGTGGGAAGGCTTTTCCGGGGACAGAGTGGCTGAGTGGTGGTGGAGGCTGCCTGTCTGTTACATTGAAAGCCAGCTTAATCGCCTCGGGATGATACCACCTTTTCCCACTGGATACGGAAGATTCATTCATTACCCTGGCGGTTCCTGTGGGACTTGGGTTCTTAGCTAGGTGTACCTTTCTGGGTGACAGGCCTGCATCTTTGGTTTGGGGTATTTTGGGGACATAGTGAGATGTGGAATGTGGTTTAGAGATGTCCTCTAGCAAGCATCGCATCCGTCCCGGGCCAGGGATCGTGCCCGCACCTGTGTCCTAGCTGGCACATCTGTGACCAGCTTCCAAGAGTCTTCTCCCAACCAGAGGAGTTGAGGCGCTCCCATCTCCAGAGTTACCTTGGACCTGTCCGTGTCTGCTTGGTTTCTTTATGGCACAGGGATGTTCTTTGGAGAAAACGAGCTTGCACCAGATAGAGCCGGATTCCATCACCTCGATTTGCTTCCTTGCGCCCTGTCCTTTCGCCTCAAATCGGGTGATGAGAGTCTTGGTGCTTTTGCCTACCGGCTACATGGCCTTGAGCAAAAGTACTTGACTGCTTGCAGGCTCGGTTTCTCCACTGCTTAAAGGGGAGTTAATAATTCCTACCCCCACAAGGTTATAGCGAGGAAGAAATGAAGATTTATAGGTATAAATTTTACCTAGTACCTGCTTGACATGTAGCAGGTATTCAGTAAATATTCTGTCTCTTCAAGTCCCTTCCCTAAATTTAGAAAATTGACAGAGAAGTGTTTATTTCTCCTGTGATTTGAAATCATTAAAAATGTTAGTAAAGCCTTGGGAGGGAGCTAGTGGGGGCACATGCATACTCCCGCTGGCAAGCACTTGTGAACGAAGCCAAGAATCTGGGCGGTTTTCTGCCAAACGGGACTGACTCACTCATGGGGACTGACTCATGAGGGACCCTGTCTGGCTCCGGGGAGGCAGGGCTTGAAGGACCACATTAGGGCATGTTCCGGGGAAATGGATTCTCTAAATAACTTGGATGGTTCCCTGGAGCATTTCGGACAAAAGCCACCTGGAAGATGGAGATGTCACCCCTACCTAGCCCAAACAGGGCCCCAAAAGTCTTATCACTTGGTCAGGGCTTAGCAGCAACAATCCTGTTCCTTAAGACCCTCGGGGGTTATTTTAAATGTTATTACCACGCCAAACCTCAGAAGGGTAAAGGGCTGCAGTCCGTGCTTTTTTGAGTGGGCCCTGACAAGGACCTTTGATTCTTCAGTATGACCTTTTTGGCTCTACTTCTGGATTCATTTCTACTGGACATGAGCTGTCACCTTTCAGTGTTGGGGAGGACGGCTGCATCCACTTCATGGTTCTGTACTCTGAGGCCCTTTATAAGTTGGGGAGAGTTGTGTTCTAGCCTCACGGGAAGTTGACAGGACCAGAGATCCCTGTGATGCATGTAGTTTTAGAGACCAAAAGAAAGAACGCAGAGACCACTTACTTCAGCTCCCTGGCTGCATAGGTTCCAAAGAGGGTCAGCAGGGTGCTTGGCTCCCGTTTCCTAGTCCTTGGTTTGTTCCAGAATTCTTCACCTTTACCCCTCACCAAAGGGCTGGTCTGCCCTAGAGGAAGTGCAGTCTGTCCTGGGAGAGTCACTAGCCCACTCAGGCCTCCTGCAGCCACCCCCCCCCACACACACACACACCCACGCTCTGGAGCCCTGGCCCATGAAGTGGCAGAACTCTTTCGGACTTTCATGAGCCTCTTCACTTTCCCAGCACACACGATCTCGGGGCTTATGCCTTGGAGGACTTCGTGACAATTTTCCCAACAAGGCTTGCGTGTAGCCCACGCTCAGGAAGTAGTTGTAGAGCTGAATTGAAGCACTGTTTGGTCTACTGAAGGCCTGTAACCCCGAATTCAATTTTGGGACAGGACCACAGTTCTCTTCTTTGTGCCTTAAGAAGCAAGTTACTGCTTTCAGCACTCTTCTGGACAGGGTGACTATGTGCCATGCTTTCGCTGCTTTTTCTCCTTGCCCCCCCACCTCCCACGCAGACCTTCCTAACTGTTTGGCGGTTTCTTTTCCCTAGAGTCAGCTTGAAGAGGAAGATCAGGCTCAAGACGGAGTCTCCATGGAGGTGTGGAGCCAGGTCAGCGACCTCTAACAGCAGAACTGGGATGTGGAGCTGGAAGTGTCTCCTCTTCTGGGCTGTGCTGGTCACAGCCGCGCTCTGCACCGCTAGGCCAGCCCCGACCTTGCCTGAACAAGGTAAGCCATGGGCTGCGGGGCCAGCCTGGCCTCCTGGGCCTCAGAAACATAGCACACTGGCACAGAGGTTATGTGTTGACTGAGAGGCTTCCGCAATACCTGGTCTGGTTTGGGCCTGGCTATAAACAACCTCCAGCAGAGGTTGGGGTCACAAAGGCCGGTGACATCCATTTGCCAGAGGTGACATGCTTAGGGTGGGTTTATGCTTTTCTCTTCCTGAAAAAGAACTTCTGATCGGGACCCAAGAGCTGGCTCCCTAAACTTCATGTTGTATAAAATGGGGCACAAGTGACCTATGAATGTGTTTGTTTAGAATCTGGATCAGAGGATGTTGAAAGATGTGGGAGCTTGATAAAGACCTCTGGCTTCTTGAAAATTGTTCCAGAGACCCATCTTCTGTGAGGGCTGACAGTAATGGCCAAGGGCGTGCCATTTTTCCTTCCTTGACCATGTCCGACCATGTCTGGAGGCCTGCTGAGCAGTTTGCTTTGGAGATGCACCACTGGAGGGATTCCAAGTAGATGGAGAGTGGAGAGCCAGGGAGCATTATGGTGCATGGGCGCTGGTGGAGATCTATGGCTTGTTGGAAATTCAGAGATTATTAGTAATGGGAAGGACTTGCTCGTGGGATTTACTGGAGTTGTGAAAATACTTCATGGAGATTACAGGTACAACACACTTTCAGGGGTCTGTGAGAACCCTCTGTGAGAACTCACTGCTGCCAAAGGGTCGTGTGGCTTGTGACCCAGTGGCTGATCACATCAATAGAGAAGGTTTGCGGGCAGTGGGTGCGAGACTCAGGTGTGCACGTGACATAGTGGCTGAGCCTAAAAGGCCATCTGTCTCAGCTGTCAGGACCCCAGTGAATGATAAATCATGAGTGAGCATATTTGTCCACTCGCATGGTGATAGAGAGGGCACTTGAGACTTTCTGGAAGGTGCACTTGACCAGAGCAGGCAGATTAATGTTGCATTCAGTAATGGAACTGAACGTCAGACCTGAGCTAGAACATGCCAGAGACCCAAAGTGGGAGAGAGCGTCTCTACCCACAGGGAGTTTATTGTCAGGGAGACAGGTGCAGAGGTAACTAAGTACAAGGTAGACCGTGTTTAGACCACACAGTGGAGTCACAGGAACACAGAGGGAACGCAGAGGAAGAGGAGAGCAGAGAGCAGCTGACCTGGGTCTAGAGGGGGTAGGTGGGGGTTTGTTTGGAAGAGGGTAATGAAGGGCATTCCAGGCGGACTAGCATGAGTGAGGGTACTGAGGCCGCATGTATAACGTGTATACAGAACGACTTGCCTGATGAGCAGGTGGTGGTGGGAAGTAACACCTAGAGAAATTGGGCTGTTAGCATATGGAAGGCCTGGACACCCTGCTAAGGAAACTATACTGGAATCTCAAAAAATTCTGAGCAGGTAGTGATGCGATCCAGCTTGCAGAAAATCAGCCTGGCAGTTGAATTTGGATGGATGGGAGGAAGACATCTCTGTTTGAATTCTGCTCTGCCATTTCATATCTGCATTACTTGCTTTGACACATTACCCCGGCACACTAAGCCTTAGTTTGCTCATCTTTAAAATGGGGACGATAATAAAGCCTGAAATGAGGTCCTTCAGATAAAGCACCTACAGGTGAAGTTTTGGTAGTTAGGACGGCTGCTCCCACAGTTGCTGTCCAGACAGACGTTTGTTTTGAATGTCTAGCTAGCGGGAGGAACCAGGGTGTGGGGCGGGAGATCGTCAAGGAAGGAAAACTAGCAGACACTATAGAAATAGAATCTATAGGTTGTTGTAGAATCAGAAATAGAATCAGTAGGTTGGCTGTCAACTCTGGGTGACTAGAGACAGAGACAGAATGACCTCAGAGTGAAAGGAATGAGTTAGGGCAGGAGGTTTGTGAGGAGTAGAGATTTGGATCAGCCACAGTGTAGACCATAACAAGGGAGTCCAAAAAGCCAGGAGGGCTTGGATGAGATTTGAGAATATGAATTTACAATGGGCCCTAAAGTACTTTTTTTTTTTTTTTTTTAACTTTCTCTAACAAGCTGTTTTGCACCTGAGACATGGAGGGTGGAGAGAGTGAATGGTGCGGGTCTTAGGCCTGGGCACCTGTACTCAGGAAGGAGATGGCCAAGGGTACGAGGCTAGGAATTTCAGGGTGGGGTGGGTGAGGTTCACGGAAGCCACTGGTAGTGGATCCAAACTGAGAAAGGAAGGTCAGGCAGTGATGGAGGGGGGAACCAGGGACCTGAAGCTCTTGACGTGGAGGAGGCATAGGCCAGGAACGGCAGGGAGGGAACAGGGGAGGTGAAGGGGGCTATTGGGAGGCTCTGCAGCAGTGAGGACTGAAGTCAGACCGCCGTTTTTTTTTTTTTAAATCAACTTAATTGAGGTATAATTTACATTCTGGAAAAAACGTTGATTTTTAAGGATACGGTTCAGTGTGTTTTGATGAATGTAACGTCCGACGTCAGTACTGTCCCAGTCTAGAGAGGGGACATTTTCGTCACCTGCACAACTTCCCTCTTGCCCCTTTGCACTCAGTGCCCCATGCAGTCAAGTGCTGCGCAGATCTACTTACAGTCACTATGGACCAGGTTTGCCGCTTCTAGAATTTCATATAATGGCATTACGTGGCAAATGTGTAGCCATTCCCCTGTTGACGGCCATTTGCGTTAATGGTTTTGGTTATTCTTAATAAAACTCCTGTGAACATCTGTGTATAAGTCTTGTGTGGGCCTAAGGTTTGCTCGATTGCCTTGGTTTTGATTTTGGCACCACTTCTTGCTGTTGACCCTTGGGAACGTTCCTCTGTGTGGAACGTATATAAAATATAATGCTAATGAGCATCTGCTCCCAGGATCCTTGTGACTATCAAATAAGAGTATATGCAATGATCTTAGAACAGTGCCTGGCACATGATCTGTGAGCAGTGAATGGCAGCTGTGAGTACTTTGTCCTGAAGACACCACATGGGGAGGGCCTTGCCGTTTCCTGCATGGCATGGGATGCCTTAGGATGCAGATGTGGAAATCCGCTGCACTCAGAGGACAAGTCCCCGGTGCAGGGTGGCCCTTCACAGAGCTTATCCCTCCTGAGCTTTGTGATGGTAAAACCCATGCCCCACAGTCTTCAGAGAACTGCTGGGAAGTCACAAGGGAAAATCTGCCTCTGTGCTTTGTAAACCATAAGGTACCTTACAAATGTAAAGTATCACAGTATAGTCTTGGCCCTGCTGATTATTAAATAATAATGCTGCTATTGTCCTCAGAAAAGACTATAATCTGTGTATAAAGGGTTTGTCCAAAAGTTTAAACCCAAAACTGCTCCCACGGAGAGCTTTTCCCCTTTAGAAAGGCCTTGCAGTAAGTGTGTGTGTGTGTTGGGGAGGGGTGTGTGTGTGTTGGGAGCCCCTCCCCCAGTCTGCAAATGTTCCTGAGTGTAAGTGTGTGTGTGTGTTGGGAGCCCCTCCCCCAGTCTGCAAATGCTCCTGAGGGAGTGAGGAGGGCCTGGAGTTTCTGGCTGTCCTTGGAAAGTTGATTTAATAAGGGTTCCAGGAAAACCAGCCTCCCTCTGTCCCGCCCTCTCCTTTCCTTTCTCTAGTTTGGGACCTTAAAGAGGCAAAGCTTGTTTCAGATCAAGTCTTGAGGAAGGGGAGGGAGTTGGATGGATGGACGGAACCTGGGTCGTGGGCCAAGGGGCAGAATGCCCCTTTAGAAAGATAAGCACCAACCTGAAAGACATTTTGAACTCGAGAAGGGTTGTGTCTGTCTTTTTCTCTCCTTTAGAATAAGACTGGGAAAAGCAAATGGCTGAATCCAAAACTGGTTGTGAGGCTGCTTCTTGCAATTGGGGGTGGGAGTCCTGGAACATGGGTTAAACACCCCAGACCCCCTTGGTCAAGGAGGACAGTATGAGGCTTGCAGTCTCAAAATACTTGCCTGCATACTCAGAAATCTGCAACTAATAAGCGATTTAATGGGTTGGGGTTTTACAGCTCCTCCCACCTACCCAGATTTGAAGGAGTCTGGTGGTAGGTCGAAGTGGGGGGAGAGGTTAGACTTAATGGAAAAGCCGCACGTTTCCATTTCTGGCCGCAAGCCCCCTTGGTGCTGATGCCGGGAGCCACAAAGCGAGGCTTTGTCCATGTTCCACGGAAACCTGCGCCCACGGCGGGAGAAGCTACAAGCAGTACCAGAGACATGGCCCCGGCTTCAGGTGGTAGGGCCTGGCCACCCCAGGCCGCCCCCCAAGGGTCCCACAGCGGTCTTGGGCCCCAAGGGGTATGCATTTCAGCCTGGGTGCAGGGAGAGCCGCAAATAGGTAGTGGAGGGTCTCCCACTGCCAGCCTCAGATAGGCTGCCGCGATCAGTGTGGCCAGAGGACCCGTGGCTGGTGGCTGCCCTGGGACACACGTCCAGGGGCGCTCCTCCGCCCCATCTGCCCCCAACAGAATTTCTTCTTGTGAAAAGAAGCTGTTTACTTTGAATGCACACTGGATGGTCAAGAGGAGTTTCTTCACCCCCTGCCAGGAGGCAAGTGGAGTGACGTGGAGCAAAAGGTGATGTTGGGTGACCCACTTGAGGACAAGGGTGGAGGATTTTTAGGTCAGTAGAAATCTGCAGGGTGCTTACTTACCAGGTTTCCCCAGAGGATCCGCTCGGCCCCACGTCCTCTTCCCCAGAGACTGGAGGCTAGAGTGCTTTTGAAAGGGTGTGTTTGCCAGTGTTCCCGGAGCTAAGCTGAGCAGGGTGGGGGTAGGGAGGACCCAGGGCTCGCCTGGCTTGTGAGAGAATGTGAAGGAGGCACGCTCACGTGTCTCCTTGACCACACTGGGCAAGTGCAGCAAAGCCACTCCAGGGCTGTGTTCTTGGCTCTGGAGTCTGCATTGCTACACTATTAGCTTCACTGATTTTCCACTCTGGCTTTGCCAGCCAGCTCCCCGAAGTCAGGGAAGAGGAATTTCTCAGGGAAGAACAAATGGCCCCAGAGCCCTT